ACAACAACAACAACAACAACAACAACAACAACTGCAACAGCAACAACTTAGATATGCAACACATATAGCAAGCGGAGGAAAACCAATGATATATGCACAACAACAACAACAACAACAACAACAACGAATGCAATATGGTGGAGATCCATACATGATGCGACAACAAACTCCACAAGTGCCATCATCTTCTTATCCATATACATCAAATATAGGTAAATTATAAAAAAATTAGAAATAATTTAAAATGAAATCTCCTATTATTTTTCTTTTTTTCTAGCTCCACCAGGATATTCACATGGTCAACCAATGGATCCTAATGCATTGGCTGCAGCACGTGCTGGTAAACCAATGTTACCACAACAACAGCAACAACAAATACCCACTCGATATCCTCTCAATTCATATTATACTCATCCTTCACCAATGGCCTATCAACAACAATCATCAATGCCGCAACCACCACATCGATCTCTTTCACAAGGTCCAACTCCTTCTTATTCAATGCCATCAACATCGGTACCGTCAAACGGTGCTGGTGGTAAACCAACTTTAATCGATTCAATCGAATCAAAATCTGAAGATATGATAGATGATCCATCAAAACAACAACAACAACAAATGTTTCATCCTCTTCTTCAAAATCGTTCACGTCCACAAACACCCTCATTCTATCCTAATATGCCACCAACGAATTCTTCTTATTATCCTTCACAACGTCCAATGACATCAACACCGGATTATAATATGGTAGCAACAGCACGGGGTATTCGACCACCAACAACAGTTGCTTATGGAACTCTACCAGTTCAACGTGTTCGAGCTCCAATTCCTTCACAATTATCATCTTCAACAAGTGATCCTACAACGGGTATAAATAATAATCCAATGGGACTTCAATCTACTCCACCACCACCGTCATCTGTAACTCCTCGTTGAAAAGCAATACTGTCTTCTTTTTGTCTATTTATTATCTTCACGTATGCTCCTCTCCTCTTTATTTTTCGGCCGACTGATTTTATTCTTCACTTAAGTTATCGGCAAAGAATTTTTTTTTACACACTGATCTATACATACATATATATCTCAAAAAAAAAAAGATATGTATATACATATATCGAAAACATCTCATTCATTTGATTTCTTTCGAGTGTATATGTAAATATTTGTTTTTGCTCCAATACGAATAATATACGTATCGTTCAGCTATGTAGTTTTGTTTTTCTTTTTTTTTTTTTTACATTGCTAGTGTACATTTTTGTCTGTTTGCTGTGGAACAAAAACAAAGGAGTTTTTTTTTCTTCTCATATTTTTTCATAATAAATAATATTGTTGTTGTTGCTGGCTTCGTGCATTATGGCCTTTTCGTTGTTGTATTGTGTTGAGTATCTTTTTTTTTCTTATTTCTTCTTGATTTCCACAAGGAGAATGAGTCAGTTTATGTATATGTATCTCGTTTTGTTTTTTTTGTTTTCTTTTCTATTTGTCTGTCTTTCTTCCAGACAATACATGCTTTCTTTCTCTTTTTTTTTTCGCTTCTTTATATATGCCCGAGCGCGCGCTACTGCCGTCAAAAATTCTTTTTTGTTTTCTATTTGTACTAATAATAAAGTGAAATGGTCAAAATGAAAAACGAAAATTGATAAATTTTTCTATTTAGAATTCTTCAAGTATAAATAGAACAAATTCAAATAGTTCGATTATTTATTTCAGAACTATTGATCGATCGTACTAGTTCTATGAATGAATTGTTACCTGTTATTTTTTTTTAATCACTCTGATTACAGTTTGTGAGTTTGCTAACGAACTTTGTGATATGAAATTTATTGTTGTAAAATATTGATGATGCAACATATAGTTTGTAGAAACTTTTGCAGTTGTGGATGCGTATTTCCCAACAATTTCCTGTTTTTGAGATGAGCTCTTGTTGTTACCGTCTTTTTAGTCAGGTGCTCTGTCAAACTGTTCAGAGAAAAATTCGAAAGAGACATAGAACATAATTTAAACGTAAAATCATTGGAGCTATGAATGATTTTCAATCCTAATGCATCACTATATAATATGATATTGGATAGATCCAGTAATCTAATAATTGTTTTCTTTGTATGAGCACATGAAATTTAAATGCATCTCTTGCACGAGAACAATAGTCCTATGAAAATGAGTTCACTCGACAGAATTACTTTATGCTCGAGAATGAAAATGTTACTTTGAACGCATGAAGTGTAAACAACATCGTGAAGATCATAATCTTCGTCAGACAAATTCTTTAGTGAGTCTTATGCTAGTCTAAATATCTTGAATTTATAAATGTACTAATTTACAGATAGCAATCTTTTATTCTGTTATCAATAAAATTATACAGTAAAAATTATAGAAAAAATATGGAACTTACAGTAAAAAAACTCATAATATTTTCTTTAACTATATCATACAATGTCAATATCTAAGAAAAATACATCTGCAATTGTTGTAAAGATCCATTTGTAATTGTTTAAGAGAATTTAGAGCTCTTACTTTGTACTCGACTTCTAACTGACTTGTCAATTTTTCTATCGAGAATTGAAAACTTAATACTTTTTCGTAAGTCCTAACTTGATTTTTATTGTTTTCTTTTTTCGTACGTGTCGATAACGTTAGTTGAATATTTGAACATTTGACAGATGTTTCACATTTATTGTTAAAATAGGCGGTTCAATGATTGTTATGGATATTTGAACTGACTTAAATTCGATCTAGACTTGCCTAAAAGCTCATTTACCACTAAAAAACTTGAATATCTCTGCCATACTTTGACGGAAGAGGCGGATTCTTCTACCACTGATAAAGGAATGTTCATAGCTCATATTCATAAGAGGAACATTGATAAAAGCTGTTTTGAAGTATTTTAGCTGTGTTTAATAAAGGAATGGAATCTTTCACAAATTATGAAAAACCAATGTTAATATCGCTGCGAATGGATTAGGCACTCCGAGATCAATTCGACGTCATCATGAAAAATAGGTACTACTCTTTTCATATATTATTTTATTTTCTTTCTATATCAAGTTCTACTATAATTGTAGTTCAATGCATAACTGAGACATCTGATTGAGAAAAAACAATGCATTGTAATATTTTTTATCAAAAAGAAAGTGTTCATTGTCTACAAATGTGTTCGTCGGAGGTCGAACTATACTTGCATTCTGTTATCATATTTTTTAAATGAACCAAATAGCTATATTTGATAGATCGTACCAAAAAAAGCGTAGTCCATAGCAAACAAAAACATGTAAGCCATAACAAGAAACATATAGTTCATAACAAAAAATATATAGATCATAATAAGAAACATAGATCATAATAAGAAAGGTATAGATCACAACAAGAAACGTGTCGATCATAATAAAAAAATATAGGTCAGAACAAACAACATATAGATCATAACAAAAAAACTAGATCACCACTAGGGGTGTCAATGTTCCCCGTTCCTCAGCGTTCCGTTCCTAGAAACTGGAACGCAACATACGTTTCTTTCACTTTTAACAGAAATTTTACTAATTCACCGAAGGAAAGCCAATTTCATAAAAATTAGGGATGTCAACGTGCCCCGTTCCTAGGAACGGGGCACGTTGACACCCCTAATCACCACATTTTTATGTGATCAATAACAATAAAAAAACCAATAAAAAATGTTTCTTTCTAATTCTTTTTATAGCGATCTACTAATTGAGATTGTGCACGAGTTGGTCTTCAAAACAAAAATTCACGTTGGTAAATAAAAGAAAAATAGATGATCAATTATTGAATACCGCAAAAAAATATTAACTAATTTTAAATTTTTTAATTGTGTTACCACTCTATAACAATTCCATTTTGCTAAAGGAATTCAGCAATGCTTAACAAAAGTATAGAGGATTAAAATTCTCAATTTACGTACATTTTAATTTTGCCTGTTCTTGCAAGTTGTGTACAATTTTATCAATCTCGCATTCTAACAAAGAATGACTAAAAACAAAAGCGAAATTAACTATTATCAGCAAAAAATATTTTACTTCAACATATAAAAAAATTTTTGATTATTCGAAATAACTAAACCATATCCGACAGCGTTATTGATGTCGTTAATAGCTTCTACAGTAAAACAAGAAAAAATGCAAGAAAAATGTAGAAAAAGAAAGGATGAGAATAGATGAAAGAACAAATTGTCTTAGCTTCGATTATCGATTAAAAGTACGTATTTCGATGAAGAATAGGACGGAGAATTGTTTGATGAAAAAAAGTTCAATAACTCTACCAAATTTTTAAACAGATATTCAGACATGTTATTAGATCATATTAATATAGCCCAGTAATATGCTTAAGTATCTATTTAAAAGTTTCGTAGATTTATTGAAATTTTTTCATCAGATGATTTTTCGTCGAAGTCTACATTGATATACAGATTTCCGATTAAAAAAAATGAAGCTAAGCCGATTCGTTTTCTCATAAAACCCTGTTCATTACCTTTATATTGTTTATTTTCATAGTAGCATTCAGCCCGTTTTTTGAAAAACAACAGCATATCTTCCTTGTCGCCTTTACCTTTTTGTTCTTCTATAAGTGCCGTTAATGTCTTAAAACAGAAGAAAAAGAATACTGTATACAGGAAACGCAGACCTCTTTTTTATTTAGTTGAATTGCTTCCTCAAACTTTTCATCCTCCATCTGACTGAAAGCTTTCACAAATTTTGCATCAGTCATTTTATTCAATCAATAATAATAATAACTAATGGCTACAAGACGAACTAAATGTTGGATGAAATAAATTTTCTAAATGTCGTGTATATATAAATATGTTCGTATTATATTTAAGGGCAAACCATTGTGACCCATCAAACCAATAGTAAAAGTTGATTTGTGACGGGGCCAAAAATCGTCGCCACTGTTTTTAGGAAATTCTTATTGATAGAATGACAATCATATCTCTAGATATGATTCATTTAAGTTTATCTATTTTATTTTGATTTTGTTTCATTAAATAGTTGTTATTTACTATAATTATATTGATACTTACTATTTGAAATCAGGATAGAAACATTTAAATCAACTGAAGTCAATGAAAATGTTTATTTATTCGTTTCTATTTACTTTGTGAAAATTCTTCAAAGGCATTTTCAAATCTAAGATGAACAAGCCATGAATATTTTTAGAGAAAGAAACGTCATGATCAATGTTATTTACTATGAATTAGTTTAATTAATTAGTCATTCTCTCAACAACTTATGAGAGGAGAACAATTAATAAATAGGAAAGTATTATAGAAATACTTGGATCTAGAAAGTCTTCTCGGGCGCATTATATATTGATATATACATTTATTATTTTTTATTGTACTATTTGAAAAGTAAGACGATTTACGTAAGCGATATTCAGTTTACTATATAATATATCCTAATTATTATCGTAAGTCATTTACAAATGTAAATTAATTTCTGTTGTAGACTTTTGAAAAACTTTTTATTTTAATGAAAAAACCTACAATTATCGTTTAAGTTGTTGAGTACAAATTGTCAGTATGCCAAAAGAAGAATAGAGATATATCATAAAATTTTCAAATACAATACGTATAAACAATATTTATGGCAAGATGCAAACACTGTCACCAGGAGAAAAATAAAGTCCAACAGTCATTTTCCATGGAAATGGACAATTTGTGATATCAACATCTAAAACATGTGTTTTATGTGTTCGTTCATTTGTTAAACTTATTGTTCGTTGATCACAGTTAATAAGTAATTCAATTATATCATTGATTTCAAAATCGCTTGTGTAACCATTGAATCTCTGCTTGGCAGAACCATCATACCATACGTTATCCTCTCCGGAGAAACCATAGCCTGTTTTACCTATTGAACCATATCCAACAGCGGACGTATCTCTATACGAAATTCCAAAAAAAATCCATCTTTTGTTACTCA